TTTACCTGCTCCTAAGTGTCATATTAAAAATGAATAAATTAAACCAAACTGTGATAGGTCGTTTTACATGCAAGTCAGATTCTTAAGTGGGCACTTCTTGGCCACACTGAAGCTGCAAAATGCACCAGACGTTATGCTGATAGTCAAAGCTTGGCTCTTCGAGACTAATGAGCATCTGTCTGCAGGATACTTTCAAAAGCATGTTTAAATCACGCACATTCAATGCAAATGGCGGCTGAAGTGCCAGACACGGCCTCATTACAGAAAATTACCATCAGCTGATCTTTGATCTTTACAAAATCTTCACTTCCTGCATTGGTGAAATGTGAAGATTTTCTTTGCAATGGCGTATTTTACTACTTAAAGCAAATCTAAAAGGTCAGGTTTGCTCTACTCACAATTACTTAACGAACTCGTTAACACGGAATCCGAGATCAAACGACGACCTGGAAGGAAAGAAGTCAAGTGGCCGAAGTTTGCCTAAGTGAGATGAGATAGCATCTTTTCCCTCAGGTGTCCAAGCTGACTCTACACCGCGGCCAGGATTTAACGCCCCAAGAATCAATGTGGCGTGCCAAATGTATCGGTGGCGATACGGGCGTGATGTAAGGGCTTGCTCTTCCTCCGCCTCCACCAGCAGGAACGCAGCCAGACTCAGTTAAAGTCATCTAACACGGCCGCCGGTCACTGGGGCAAAGATAATTGTCTTTTCGAGACATGATAAATAAACAACAAACCAAAAAAACAGCCTGGGATGGAAGCAAAAAGGCGTGCAAAGGAGAGAGAAAGAGAATATTTCAACAAAGGGCAAAAGGGAGACATTTTAGAGCATCTCACGGTTTCTCATTCGCCATCTCATTCTCTCTTTACCTGCTTTCATTACTCTAATACCACACACACTCGTGCCAAACTGAATGTAGGTCATCTCTGGACGGGCATGTGAAATTGAATGGTAAATCAAAACAGTTTATCAATGTGCAGATCCCTGTGCGCTACAACAGAAAAGAGCATGAGTAGAGGGTCACAGCACACCCCTCACATTTAATGCATAAACACAAATCACAAGCATATAGAAGTACATTTCTATATTTACCAAAAATGTGATAAGCGCTTGCCTGTGCAGAACTCAAGTTTTATTCTTTTATTTATTTCACTTTATTCTTTTACTTATTTCAAATAGATGATGTTCTTCTTAGCATTCTATTGATTAAAGAATTAGACTGTGATAATAAGTAATGTTTCTTGAGCAGCACATCAGCATGATTTCTGAAGGATCATGTGACACTCAAGACTGGAGTAATGATGCTGAAAATTCAGCTTTGCATCACAGGAATAAATTATATTTTAAAATATATTTAAATAGAAAACAGCTATTTTAAATTGAAATAATACTTCATCATTTTTCACAGCTTTAACTGTATTTATGATCAAATAAAGTCAGCCTTGGTGAGCATTATAGACTTATTTACTTTATATAAAAAAAAAAAAATTTTTTTTGTAAATACGCGTTGCTAAAAAATGCATTGCCTTCACTTAGAAATCAGTTTCTAATCTTTATATATATAAAATACTGACCCTACTGACCCTAAACTTTTGAATGGTAGTTTATAAACTAAATACAAATTTCTACACAAAGCATTTTAAACAATTTAAAAAATCAGTCAAAATCAAACTCAAAATCAAATTGTAATTCTGCATTCTGTCTGCTACTTCAAATATAATTTAGGAACTCCAATGTTGCACAATCCTGTAGCTAAGGTCATCACAGTGTTTTAGCACATTGCAATGTGGTTTCTAGATGGTAATGACATTCTGGTCGCTAGTTATGTCTCAGGTTCTTCCCTCAATGCAAATCCAAGGAACTGTCCACTAACCAAACAAATCTGAATACTGAAAAGAAACGGTACACCTCTCTTCAACGAGGTTGATCATCAAGGGAGATTTATTATTGGATTACGTTTTAATTGAACCATTTAGTGCAGTGGTTCTCAACCTTTTCCACTCGAAAGCCCTCCACTGTCCAACACAATATTCAAAGGTCCTCCACCCCATAAAATTACTGATATACTGTATGAAATAAAATAATAATGATTCATTTTGTGATGCCAGAAGTTAACCACTGTATGTTCTTCAATAAAATCAACAACAGTTATTAAAGTGCCCCTATTATTAGCAATGAAAGGTTTATATTTTGGTTTTGGGAGTCCCCAACAACAGGTTGACATGCATGCACGGTCAAAAAACACTTTCACTGTCTTATAATATGCATTGAACTCGGCATTACTTGCTCAACGACTCCCAAACGATTCACTCAACGATTTATTTTTCCAAACCCCTCCTTTGCGTGACGCTAATCTGCGTGATTGGTCAATTTCATTTTCATATCATAATAAAAGCAGTGTTTGTGAGCACAGTGCTGCTTTGTGTACAGCGTTACCGGGGAAACCGCTATTTTACCGCTCCAAAAGCGGCACCTAGTGGCAAAGAATGAATTTGCATTTATCAAAAATGAACTTATACTGACCAATGCAAAAAGAACAAGTGGGCGGGTAATATGCTAATATTTCATGTTGAAGTCAACATGAAACAGCTTGGGATTCTTTTTCAAAAAGACTTGTTTCAATGATTCAGAGTCGACTCTTTCTTTTGAGAGACAATCACTTTATACACGGTGCACTTTCCGATTTAAAACTTTGCAGGATGTTTTCATTCACTTAGAGCTGTGTTACAATATGCTAATATTTCATGTTGAAGTCAACATGAAACAGCTTGGGATTCTTTTTCAAAAAGACTTGTTTCAATGATTCAGAGTCGACTCTTTCTTTTGAGAGACAATCACTTTATACACTGTGCACTTTCCGATTTAAAACTTTGCAGGATGTTTTCATTCACTTAGAGCTGTGTTACACACTGCATGAAAGGTCATTTTCAAAAATCCATAATAGGGGCACTTTAAGAGAAATAAAAAAGATTTTATGTCAGTTTTTTTTTTAAATTCAATTCATATATCAATACTAATTTATTAATTTTAATATTTCTAAATCATCCTGCAGCCCCCTTGGAAATTTGCTGAGGAGGACCCTTAGTGGGCCCCCGGACCCATGGATCAGAACCATTGATCTAGTGTTCTGAAAAGAGTGAGGGTTCATGCATAATAAATCTTACTATGCATGAAATGCTTTGAACAGAGGCCATTATGTTAATTAATTCTACAAGTCTGCACATTTTTGGCATTTCCTAATTCAAGCGTATTGATTTTGTAATATTTCTTACTCCTGCACTAAAATCTTCTTCAGGTTAGGGCGTCTAACCACCCATCTCTCACTTCTGTGCGTGTGAACTGTGAAGGCAGTTCAATTCAAATGCAGAGCGTGTTAGATTTCCCTTTCTCCCTGAAAATCGGCACTGACGTTCACCTCCTCCAGCTAGTGGAGCAATCTATTTTATGCCCCATTCATTTAATTGACTGATTGTCACGTTGTATCACAAGCAAAGCAAGCACAGGGTGATGTAAAGGACAGCGGCTGGACACTGCACCCCTGCTCTCACTGCCTCTAATGAGATATTAATGATCGAAGGCAGCCATCAATCGCTGCAGCTCCAGTGTGCTGTAAGACGACAGTGAGCTCCAGCGCTTATGAAACAGGGACCCACAGTGGTAGAGGACAGAACTGCAAACAGATTGCCATTTCAAGTGAGACTGGAATTTTGCAGAGCAGTCCAAATACAGTTTACGAGTCCTGTGTGCATCTACACAGCAAGAGCTGCGTTTATTGGCAATGAAATGCTTTATAAACATCCACAGAAGACTGTAGTTAGCCTAACACCACGTTGAAGGTGAAGGTCAATATATAACATTTAATTTAATAAACTTAACCAAATTCAAATATAAATAATTAACACCAAAACAGCCACTGCTGGAAAAAAAATAGGAACCATCACAGAAATGTCCACTACAAATACCATTACAAACAATCAACCATCATTAAAACCAATAAAATGGTTTCCTGTAGTGTGTTTTAGGACATATTCCATTAGGATGTAATGGTTTTAACAAGCCACTAATAAAAGGTGACAAATTACCAATAGAGATCCACAAGGACCATTACAGTTTCCATTAAAACCAATACAATTCCCATTATAACCAATAAAGCCATTACAAATTCTGATGTTTTTTTTTTCTCAGCAGGAAATATTTTGAGACCAAAATAGGACTTAAATACATTAATGACTTTGATATAGTCAACTCCACGTTCTTAGAAACATTCTCAAATAATAATTACATTACTACTATGTAATGTTGAGTCCTCCTGCTTTCATTAAAGCAAAAAGGAGACTTAGGGCCTGAAATCATTATTAAAAAGGTAATTTAATTTTTCACTAAAATTGTTGATATGATATTGATATTGATAATATAATCATAATGACAAAATCTGTAGCCTAGTAAAGAATGCAAATGCATTTTACTATTGGGTTTTAAACTTTTGGACCCCCACTGTATTTCTCAAACATTTTCTAAAACGATGCAATTTCTTAGTGAAATAATAGACACAACCACACCATTTTAAATAACTCCCCTTGACAAACGCTTGATATTTCAATGGTAAGGTTTATATTTGCATGAAAATTGCCCACTTTTATTAGTTATTATTAGTTTTTGTTACTGTTTTTAATGATAATGTTTATTTCCTCATCAAACGGCATTAAATCGAATCACAGCCCACACAAATATGGAAATAGGCGAATATTAATATTTACTCACCATCATGTTGCTGCAGACGTCGTTCTTTTTCAGTGGAAAACACTTTGAGAAGTTTTGAAGAATGTTGTCGATGTTGGTGCTTAAAAAAGTTTATGTGATATATTCCGTCAAATTTTGAAAACACACACAAATCACAACCCAGTGAACCCACGCAAAACATCTATTCAAAGCAAACTAAATGATGCACATGCACGCCGTTTCTGGATAATAAACCACATATCCCATCAGCCCCCTGGCCCCGTGTCGGGGATCACATGATCCACACGGGAAAAAACATGAAAGACTCCAGCAAGATGTAAATGACAGAAATAAAGCTGCGAGGAAAGGAGTGAACCTGAAGCTCATAGCAAAGCGTTTGTTCATAACAAACCGAGCAGGAACTGTCATGCTACTTGAATAACGTTTTGTATAAATTGTAAAGATTTTGTAAGCTGCGTAATGGCTTTAATGTGCGTAATCGCGTTGTTTGCACTGATCACAGCTCAATGTGCTCGCGCGACGCCGCCAAACTTCGTGCTGCTGTTCGCCGATGATTTGGGTTACGGTGATCTGGGCTGTTTTGGACACCCGAGCTCTCTCACCCCGAATCTAGACAGACTAGCAGCGCACGGGCTCCGGTTTACCGACTTCTACGTCACGAGCCCCGTGTGCAGCCCTTCTAGGTAAAACCAAATGCATCTTTTACCAAATCCACCTGTTATCCAGCCTATTATTTCATTTTTGTTCATGCGTTCATTTGTACACTTCTTTTGAGTATCTTTAAATCACCTTCCAGCCTCTACAAGTTTTTGATGTAATTAAATTAGAAGTTGGAAATATTATTTATAAATTATTATTTATTATTGCTATTTATATAGTTTATATGTAGTCATTTTAGGCTGGTCTGAAGTTTTTGTTGTTGTGTCTGGCTATCAAAAAATGTCCCTTGATTTATTGTCTCATTGATTAGTTCTCTTATATAATTTAATTTATTGACTAACTTATTAGATTTCTAGATGTTTTATATATAATAAACTGTGCTACTAGTAGGCCTACTATTTCTGCAGTAATTATCTAATTATTTTTATTATTGTTTTTTATTTTATTTTATTATTAATTATTTTAAAAACATATTACTAACAGGCTTACTATTTATGTTATTATTATTTTATTTTTTTATTTTTTTTGGCTATCATAAAAACGCTATCTCTTAAATTAATTGTCAAACTGATTAGATATATTATCACCGACATAATACATATTTGATATCAAATTATCACAGAAGATGGCGCCAGAATGCAAGGTAATATTCACCGACTTTGGTTCGATAATATCATAAACATAGGCCTTCTATTTCTGCATTATTTAAAATGTATACTATGCACAGTATGTGTATTTTCTGTATGCAAGACCTAATTTTTATAAAATTGTACATACACTGCAGACTGCATGATAAATGCAATGTGCTCAAGGTAACCTTCCATTTATCTTACAATGATTAAACCAATATCATAATCAGCCTGGTTAGAAATTAGAATTCACCCTCTTATAATGATGTATTGTGCTAATGTGCAGAATTTCCTTTTACATACTGTTTTTTTTGGTCCAGGGCAGCCTTGCTGACGGGCCGCTATCAGACTCGTTCCGGCATCTATCCAGGTGTGCTGTATCCGGCCTCAAAAGGGGGTCTCCCTCTCAACGAGACCACTATCGCAGAGGTGCTGAAGTCTAAGGGTTACACTACAGCCATAGTGGGCAAATGGCACCTGGGCGTCGGGCTGAATGACACTTACCTGCCCACCCGACAGGGCTTTGACAATTATCTCGGTATCCCGTACTCACACGACCAGGTCATTATGTTTTCTTGAATTATTCTGAGTTTTATCTGGAAAGCACCAGGGAAATTGCATAGCATTATTATAATTAATATATATTTTTAATGCAGGCGTGTCAACTGATTCCTGAATGTTAGTCTTCATTTTGTTGCTGTCTTTCATCATTGCATAATATCTCTCTATCAAAGGGTCCCTGTCAGAATCTCACGTGTTTCCCTCCGGATGTGAAGTGCTATGGCTTCTGTGATCAGGGTGTTGTAACTGTACCTCTCATGTTTAATGAGAACATCAAGCAGCAGCCTGCAGACTTCCTGCAGCTCGAGAAGGCCTACAGTGAATATGCCACGCAGTTCATCACTGATGCTGTCCGAAATAACCGCCCGTTCTTCCTGTACTATCCTTCAGATGTGAGTCAAATCAACAGTCTGAATCAAATAAACTCACCAAGACTTCTCACAGCACTTACATATTATTGCTCTTTTTGTTTTGATTGCTTCTGTTGTCATGGGATGCCTTAACTGCCTTAATAAAATAATTTTAAAATTATCATTTAATTTCATAGCACCTTTTTCTTTTACACTCTCAACTTATGGAGAGTCCCCGTAAACCACAAATAGTGGTGTGTGTGTGTGTATATATATGTTTTTTTTATTTAAATTTTTTATTAAATTGCAACATCCGCAATGCTTCATGGGATGCCTTAACTGCCTTAATAAAATAATTTAGCCTACAGCGAATTTGCCACGCAGTTCATCACTGATGCTGTCCGAAATAACCGCCCGTTCTTCCTGTACTATCCTTCACATGTGAGTCAAATCAACAGTCTGAATCAAATAAACTCACCAAGACTTCTCACAGCACTTACATATTATTGCTCTTTTTGTTTTGATTGCTTCTGTTGTCCTCATTTGTAAGTCGCTTTGGATAAAAGCATCTGATAAATGACTGGATGAAAATGTAAATCATTTTTGTAATGTTTTATGCAATTGCTTGCATGTCTCTAAAAGAGATTGAAAAGGAGTACTAGATTATTTCATATTACGGAATTTCTACAGTATAATGTTTCTTATAATGCTTGTTATTGAGAAAATAAGTATGTAAAGTATTTATAATAAATGTAATTCTAAGCCCGTTCTTCCTGTACTATCCTTCAGATGTGAGTCAAATCAACAGTCTGAATCAAATAAACTCACCAAGACTTCTCACAGCACTTACATTTGCTTGCTCTTTTTGTTTTGATTGCTTCTGTTGTCATGGGATGCCTTAACTGCCTTAATAAAATAATTTTAAAATTATCATTTAATTTCATAGCACCTTTTTCTTTTACACTCTCAACTAGATAGATAGATAGAATTTTTTGTGTGTGTGCAAAATATTAAAATATACAAAAATATAAGTTGTTTGGGAGTTTAGGGAGGATTACTTGATTATGTCATTCGCAATGCTTCATGGGAGTGTATCATTACCTCTTTTGGCATAATTCCAATTTCCTTGGTAACAGTGACTTTTTTTTTTATTGGACGAGCCAAAGAGGATTGTGGGCAGTGCAGTTCTTCACTGAGAATGACCATGACTTGAACAAAACGAAATAATTATAAATTAAATAATAATGAACTAAACAATTAAGATTAATAGATAATGAAGTTAAATAATAAAGATTAATTTAAATTTAGTTTTTTTTGTTCATTTGTTTTTTATTAATTTAAATTAAATTAAAATCAGAAGTGATAATCACACTGATTTTCTGAAGGTTTCTATAGTGTTTAGCATCATTTAACAATCTCAAAGCTCATAGTAGGTCTTTCTTGAAAGATTTACACAATGTATTCAAAATAAGTGGGATTTTTGCTTCCAGAATATGTTATGATCTTTTAGAAACGCACTCAAAGTATGTACTTAATGATTTTCTGCCTGGTCTCTGTCTCTCCAGCACACACACTACCCTCAGTATGCAGGCGCAGACTATGCAGGGAAGTCTCCTCGTGGGCCGTTCGGTGACGCTCTGATGGAGTTTGATGGCACTGTGGGGAAGATTCTGCAAACTCTGGAGGAGACGGGGGTGATCAACAACACTCTCGTCTTCTTCACTGGTGACAACGGGTAGGTGTTTCTCCTTAGTCCATTCTTTGTGCGTTTCTATTTCTCTTAACATCTATTTATGTGTGCGTTCGCAGGCCAGAGCTCATGCGGAAGTCTCGTGGGGGAAACGCAGGCCTGATGAAATGTGGCAAAGGCACGACTTATGAAGGAGGAATGAGAGAGCCGGCCATCGCATATTGGCCTGGATCCATCCAACCAGGTAAACGGCCCAGTGTCCGAATCCAGCTATAAGAAATATACAATGTTTTATGAAATTGAAGACATTTACTTTGTTTTCCCATCATTCAAAGGTGTGACCCGTGCTCTGGCCAGCTCTTTGGACATTCTGCCCTCCTTTGCCAAACTGGCTGGAGCTGCGTTACCTGACGTTCAACTAGACGGGGTCGACATGACAAACATCCTGTTGAATCACGGAGCGGTAAGAGACAAAATGATCAAAAGTGAAATATATTTACATGCATGCATACATACATACATTAGTGTTTGTTTGGGCTTGGTAAGATTTGTAAAACATGTTTTATTTTAACAAAAATACAGGAAAACAGTAATATTGTGAACTATTTTTATTTTCTATTTTAATATACTTTAAAATGTCATTTATTCCTGTGATGCAAAGCTAAATTTTCAGCATCATTACTACAGTCTTGAGAGTCACATTATCCTTCAGAAATCATTCTAATATGCTCAAGAAATATTTCTTTTTGTGCTACTTCTGTATCTTTGTGGAAGCAGTGACACATTTTTTCAGGATTCTTTGATGAATAGAAAGTTCAGATTTTTTTAAAATAAAAATTGTTAACACTTTAGAAGCCTTTAGTGTCTCTTTCGATCAGTTTAACTCATCATTGCACAATAGAACTTACACATTTCTTTAAAAAAAACACAAATCTTACTGACCCCAAACTTTTGAACAATAGTTTATATTTGTATATGTGACCCTGGACCACAAAACCAGTCATAAGGGTCAATTTTTCGAAATTGTGATTTATACATCATCTGAAAGCTGAATAAATAAGCTTTCCATTGATGTATGGTTTGTTAGGATAGGACAATATTTGGCCGAGATACAATTATTTGAAAATCTGGAATCTGAGGGTGCAAAAAAATCTAAATATTGAGAAAATCGCCTTTAAAGTTGTCCAAATTAAGTTCTTGGGCATATAAAAAAATCAATAATTTTGACCCATGCAATGTATTTTTGGCTATTGCTACAAATATACCCCAGCGACTTAAGACTGGTTTTGTGGTCCAGGGTCACATACATATTTAGTTTTTTCTAAGCATAAAGGAAGCATTCTTGCATTCAGTCTGCTTTATTTGAATAGTTAACCTACATGTACATCCATTATTAGACATAACATCTTTGAGCACAGCACCACAGAACCTCAGTATGTTTTTACAGCGTATTTTGCTATTATAGATTTTGGAGACACTATGTATAACTATTTAAAATGGTTAAAGGAATAGTTTACCAAATATCTCTGTCATTATTTATTTGACTTCATTATTTACTATTTTACCCTGAACAAGCTCTGCCAATGAGCCCGTGCTTTAAAAACCTTGTTATTGATGTTTCAGAGTGAAAGACAGACCATCTTTTACTACCCGATTGCCCCAAGTGAGAAGTATAGCGTGTTTGCAGTGAGATGGAAAAATTTCAAAGCACATTACTATACACAGGGTAAGTTCACCATTGCTTAGACTATATAAACCTCACCTTCCTACCTTTCCTTCCTGTTTATTTCTGTTATGTCTTTTTTTCCCCATAACTCAGGTGCAATTCATAGTGAAAACCCCCAGGACAGCAACTGCTCATCACTTTTCCTCAAGCGCTATGATCCTCCTTTACTATATAACTTAGAGGCAGACCCATCAGAAAACTATAACCTTAACAGTACCGAATGGGACTCTGTGCTCAAGCAAATCCAGGCCGTCAAGGAGCAGTTTGAGGCTTCTATGGTGTTTGGAGAGAGTGAGATTGCCAAAGGGAGAGACTCTGCACTCGAGCCCTGCTGCATTCCTAATTGCACCCCTAAACCCACATGCTGCCGCTGCACTTCTGCACTTTAAACAGCGGCCGGCACACTGCCAAATCATGAAATTACAATTCACAAGACCGCCGAAAGACTGATTGTGTTTACAATCTTCCATTGATTTTCTTCTCAAAGCAAAATGCAATGAAAAAGCATAATAACGTTTCTGGAATCTTTTTCAGGTTCTTTGCTGAAGGAAAACAACTGAAAAGATCTGATAAAAAAATGAAGTTGATCCTGTTGCTTATTTTGTCCACAAATACTCCAGTTGATGCATAGAATGATAGTATGAATGCTAAAAACAGTCTTATTGATTTTCTCACTTATCTCTCAGTTTGACTAGTTCACTGATATAATAATAGGCTGTTAACAGTGACTGGTTGCAAAGGGAATAGAGGAGCTATACTGTGTGTATTTTTAAGTACAAATGTATGAATGTGTATGTCGTACTTTTTTGAGTTTCATTCACTATCAGTCTGCTTTTAACACTGAATCGTAATTATGGAGTGATTTTTAAAAATAAAAGAAAGTTAAAGAACACAGGTCTTGAGATATTTTATTCTTCCTCGTCATGCGTGTACACGGCTGAACTAGCTGAATGGCAAACCATTTATTAGGGAATATGGAAAAATGCTTATATTAATATAGTAATTAAATGTATATTACCACATTATATAAAGTTCTTTACATTTTATTTGCGTTGTGGTACTCTCATTAATGTGCATCAAAGATTGAAAGAAATTGTTGAATAAAGTTGATATTTTAGTTTTTTTGCATACAAAAAGTACTTTCGAAGCTTCATAAAATTACGGTTGAACCACTGATGTCACATGAACTGTTTTAATGATGTCCTTACTACCTTTCTGGGCCTTGAACGTGGTAGTTGCGTTGTTGTCTATGCAGGGTCAGAAAGCCATTGGATTTCATCACAAATAAATTCATTTGTGTTCCAAAAATGAACAAAGGTCTTACATGTTTGGAACAACATGAGGGTGAGTAATTAATGGCAGATATGTTCATTTGTGGGTGAACTATCCCTTTAAAGGCAGCCTAACATGTAGATGACAAACGTGACGGAGAGAACTTACAGAGCTGCCGTCCACCAGCATTAGTCCCACAAGCAGCGAAGTCTCACCTTTGCCAAATAAACTCAGAAACACAGTTATTATAGTTAATTGAAACTAACATTTAAACCATAAAAAACTAGTTTGAAATAAAATGAAAGTTAAAACTTATTTCAGATACGTTTTCCGAACATGTCTCATTTTCATTTACTTTGTGTACTAAAATAACAAACTAAAACTGCAATAAAAAAAATAAAAAAAGCTATATAGATAATTAAGAAAAAAAATTATAAAAATGACAAAAACAACAAAATGACTTCAACTTTAACTAAAATTAAATTCAATTGAAAACAGAAAATATAAAAAGAATTAATAAAAACTATAATAGAATCTAAACTATATCAAAATAACACTTCTCAGAAACACTTTGGAGACATCAAGCATATATTATTTTATTCATAAGACCAAATCCATGACAAGGCAGTGAGATTTTTTTGTTTGTTTTTTCTTTACAAGTTGTCATTTTTAACGATACAAGATACATAGTTTTGTCATACTGAAGCTGTTTCCGTTATACAGTGAAGGACTGAATTATGTACGTTTAAGTCCAGAACTTTGTATTTCAGCTACCCAAGCTTAAGTAATCAAGAAGTATTAGATGCTCTGCCTGAATGTGTTAGGGGTTTCACAGCCAATTTGTCACTACAAATTGCTAAATTGAAGGCTAAAATATTCAAGATATTCATTTACCTTATGAACACACAAAAAATGTAATGTAACAGTCATAACTAAGGATTTAGAGCTCTGATTGATATAAATGATTGCTCATAAATGAGACAAAATTGCTGATTGACTCGACGAATGAGTTTTTGGGCATTCGATGCGTGTCTGTTTGTGAATGAAGATCTGATTGACACGGCGGATTTGTTAGATCGTCAGCGATTGCATGTTATTCCGCACATGGTGACTGACCACACATCCAACAACAGATGTATACCAATGAAAAGCAGATAAAGGAAAGATACAAATACTAATTCAAAGCTATTTATGTCTTTTCACCCCATCACAGTTGGCTTTTGGTTGTGAACATTATTATTAATATTATTATTTCTTTTAAATGTACATATTTATCTCAATAACATACTCAACAGAAAGGACACAGCATGGCGATCCTGACTCTAGAATATTTACAGCAATCTAACCGAAAACAAGACACATATAAAACATAAAACTCCTTCCGTGAGAGTGTCACCGTCACAAATGAACGGGTAACCATGGAAACAGATTGCAGGCTGCTGGAGGATACAGTCACGTGTGCAGGGAACGTTGGGCTGCGTTCAAAATAGCATACTACCATACTATGTATGCATACTAGTATACCGCAGTGCAGTGTGCACGAAAAAGTCAGATGAGAGGGGGATCTGCTCTGCTCTATTCAGTCTCAGCAGCGCCGGTCAAGGTCAGGACAAGGGCTAAATCAGAGAGCTGAACAACTGCGTCTGCCAGTCGGCATCTGTGACAGACTCAGAGAGACAAAACAATGCACAAGGGTTGTTTTCTGATATCCTGAGCTTATTATATAATCACATGGTACCTATACATCTGTTTAACAGGACAGAATTGGGGTATTTTATTCTTTACCGGTGTAATATGAAGCAATATTTGTCCTGCAGATTACTGGATTAAATTATCAAGTCCATTGGTAAAACATTCCTGCATTCAGTGTGTTTCCCAGTGAACGGGGACTTTTCATTTTACTCGCTGTCTATAAGCATCATATCTCTCTGAAGTTTCTACCTGCAAACGTTCAAAGCATGAGAGGTGAGCTATATCAGGCTTAAAAGCTAAAAGCGTCAGTCCAACCTGACAATCATACAAGACAGCAGACAATGGTAAGTAGAGGGGCTGTCGGGCTTGAGAGCTGGAGAAATATTATTTGACTGAATGCCCAAAGGACTGAGCTATAGCATAGCCAACCGGATGAATCGTACAAAGTCGATATCTCAGTAATATTTTACCCCAAAATAAAATGAAAAAAAAAAAATCAATTTTAATGTGCATGAAGAAAATAAAGCCTATATTATGATTGTTTCATGACAATTAAGCACATTCCCTCACCTCACCCTTTATTACTGTAATGCTAAAAAGAAAACTAACAACAATTAATTGATTGATGAATTAATTATATGAATAAATATTGATATTAATTAATGACATAATCACTGTAAATTATGACACTTAAGCACATTTCATCACCTTATCCTCCAATAATGTAAAGCTAAATAAATAAATAAATACAAATAATTTTTCATTATTATTATTATTTTTATTAATAACAATTATAATAAAAATGTAATTATTATTATATGAATAAATATTGATATTAATTAATGATATAATCATTGTAAATTATTTATACTTAATGGTAATATTTGTAGCACTGCCTTCATTGCATGCTGATTTAAAATAAAAAATATTGACAGAATGATTTTTATTACTGTATTACTGAGAATCATTAATGAAAATCAACTAAAACTATAAATAAACCCAAAACTAAAACATCTGGATGCATTACTGTAATTGTGGGTGTTTAACTGTGATGGCAATGTCACAATGGCATTGCAAATAATTAATCATAATTATTAATTAAAAACTTATGCACAAAACTCAAAACTGAAATATCTGGATGCATTACAGTAATTGTGGGTGTTAAAATTGAGATGAAAATAACGTCAGTTGCAAAAAAATCATAATTTTTACACAACATCTTTGTGATTTTGGGGTCAAATATTTTCCAGATATGACTTGATGAGATTCACCGAACCATCTCTAGATTCCTCTACTGTACACCCAGCCTGCCGACCTGCAATCCGTCCCACTTTCTCATTCTCAGACCGATGGCGCAGGATACTTGCATACCATGATGTAATGAAGCATCTGTTTTCACCTACAGTCATCCCTATTTGTACAGTATTTACATCGCGGTTAAATCAGAAACGTACATTAAACCTTCTACTACATCGGAACAGACAATCTGTAGACCTATCAACGACTCCAGGTCACGTCCTACTGCCTTGTCCTTTTTAGTACAAACCCAGTACAGCAATGTATCAGAATGGGACAAATACATATTTACAAACAATCCTGGTCTTCAGATTCAAACCTCTGATCGCCTTTTGCTTTTAGACATTGTGTGTGTATGTGTGTGTTTGTGAGCATAACCCTCAAAGCCATGCAATCAAACATGTCAAGTCATATTTTGCCTTTTCTACACCAGGACTATATATATATATATATATAAAAAAGAACTCGAACTGATGTATCCACCCAAAAACCATGTCCCTAATTATATAGTAGAAAAGTTAAATAAACAAGCAATCCATCTCAATGAAGAGAATAAATGAACTGATAAACAGTTAAATAAACAGACAGACCACTAAGAGCCAATGTAGAGTATTCAGCTCAGTTCATGTCGGGAGAACAAGAGAAACTGAGGAAGAGAATAAAGAGATGAGGCCTATGTTACATTTGAGAAGGCTGCCAGGCGCCTCGTAGTGGCCAAGCCCAGGAACTGTCCTGAGGGACAGCAGTTGCCATGGTTACCCTTTTCCTCCTTTACTCAAGGTAGATATCTTCGGTAGGACAGGCGTATTCTAAGTGCTCTTGGTAGTACTCCTGGAACGCCCGTCTGAAACAAGCACACAGAGACATACGAGATCAGAACTTACACTTGTGTGTTGCGCTTTGTGAACAGCGTTTTGTTTTGCTTGTGTATTGTATTGGTCATGTATTGCTAAAAAATGGTAGGGTTTCACATTTAGCTGTGACAACTATATATATATATATATATTTGATCCTATTTGATCAAACCAATGTGATCATATTTAGGAATTAAATAATAAATAAGGTAAATTTTGATGTCAAATAGACTAACAAATAACTAAAATGTATTTATTCACATTTAGCTGTAATAACTATAATATATCTAAAACTACTAAAACTGGTAAACAAGACTACTGTCATATCCAGCAGGGCAAAATAAAAATAAAGTTGCACCTTTAAATTTTTTCTCTTTTTCTCTCTCTCTTACCTCCCCTGAAAAGTCATACTCATCATCCAAACTCATGACTAGTTTCACACCCTGCAGGCATATTTCCAGCTCACAAATAGATGGGGGATGAAGATGCACCGTCCTCTTCCTTGCCATAGCGATCTGAAAGGTAAACAAACTCATTAGTTCTTGTTTGCATCATATGATGTAACATTGTGCATTCATTGAGTACTATCTCACACAAGTAAAGCACAATCTGATACATTTCCTGTTTGCGGTACCTTCTGCATGGCAGCACACAGGATGCCATTGCCTTGGTGATAAGGAACTTCCACCGAACCCAGGAACTGCACTCGGAAGCTTTCCATCCAAGCAGGGTTCCTCTTCATCGCTATGGAAACACACGTATACAGACAATGCTGACTCACCAAGTGCTTTAACAAAGAGACCAGATGTGAAGGCCAAAGAAAAAGAAACCAGTCCCATATTCCTTACCAGAAGGACTCTTTTACAGAAGTATATACATATTTTCCCCCCAAAACCGTAATCCCAAAAATGTATATTTTGAAAACACTGTATTTTCAAAATTCTTACTCATCAGATCTTTTGTTTGGCCAACAACCTCGTGGGCGTAGTATGCTGGGAAAATCCCTCTGGCCCCTGTGCGCATGTTATACCCACGGTACCAGTAATCATCCTCCTCTTCCTCAACGAATAATGGATCATCAATGTCTAACTCCAGCTCATCTGCATGTCGTGGGATGAACCTGCAGCGTGGGCATTAAAACTTGCATTTGTATTGCATGCAATAGATATTATGAGCAGTCAATTTACTGTTTTAACAGATACTGAAAAAGAAGAGCTGCTTGAGGGTTTGTGATTGGGCTTTAAACCAGACTGGAGCTTTTTGATTATAGCTACTGTAGGTGTATTTAGGTTATAGTGTGGGTAGCATTGCTCACCTGAAGACCGCTCTGTGAGTCTGGTCTCTTTCTTCTCCATTTATAGTGCATGAGAAAAGCCCAAAGGACTCTGTGCCTGAAACACACATAATGCAGAAGCATTATGTCACTGTATACTGAGATATAAGCCTCAAGGTAGTGTGTGTGTGTGTGTGTCACAGAGTACTGCAAAACTCATTTAGAAGCAGGTCATACAAAATCCTTCATCTTCTGATGTCATCTCATTAGGATTATTAAATATCCTTTCTGTTCAGCGAGACAGGCTCCTAAATTATGTAAAATTATCATCTAAATCTCTTAAACTGTACTAAAAGGACTCAGAATGGCTCTGTGAATGGGAATGAATTTAATTTGGTAATTTATTTAGGTAATATACAACAATTTATTTTGCGTTTCCTCCTTGAGCATATTTGTATATTAAACCTTTACAGTAGCTTTAAAAATGTTGCTGTGTTAGTCATATTAGTTTAATCCAGCGAGAGAGCAAACAATAACAAAGGATGGATTCTTGGCACTAAGAAATCTTTCAAAGAAACCAAAATGAAAGGATCATTGACAAAAACAAAAATTCTGTCATCATTTACTCACCTTCATGGCATTCCAAACCTGTATAACATTCTCTCTTCTGTTTTTGTCCATACTGTGAAAGTTAATGGGGTCCAAAACAATACTGGACCACATTTACTTTCTTTGTATGGACAAAAACGATTGAACACATTTTTCAAAACATCTCATTGGTTTGGAATGAAATGAAGGTGAGTAAATGATGACAGAATTTAAAATTTTTGGGTGAACTATACCTTAAATCTTTTGTGCACCGTGTTAAATTTCACTTACTGGAGGACCGTGACGTGCTGTTGACAAACACATTGAGGAACTTCTTTGAGAAAGGTAAATCCGCCTCAGGGGAGGAGTCTTCTTCAGAGGAGCTTAACAGCAAATCAGGTCTCATGCCTCTTTCCATCTGGCCCGTATCAAATCTCTCTGTAAAGACGGGTGTAGCATTGCCATATGTGGGGTTGCTCATGTACAGACAAGTGTCCGTTCTCTTGTTTTCCTTCTGTCCCTCTTCAGATACATAGCTAGCTTCTCTCTCCTTCTCTTCGTCCAGTCTCTTCTCTGACGTTTCAGAGGTCACCTCCTGTGACTTTTCTTCCGATTTCTGCTTTTGTGAATTGCAGCCATCCGTCTCATTGAAAGTATCTGTTTCCAAGTCCGACGAGGGTGAGATGGTGTCAGAGATCGAGGCTGAGCGTTTGAGGCACTCTTCTGGGCAGCTGATTGGGTAGGAGCCTTCTGAGATCATCCTGTTGACCAGGTTGCTGAGAAGCCAAGGAGAATCAGAGTTTTCACTGAGCTCATCTTCGGACTCTGACTCGGACTCTCCCTCACTGTTACCATCATAGTCGTCCACAGAGGGCATGAGTTTGGGGCCAACCGGCAAATAGAAGGAGCGTTTGAAGCTCTCAAGACTGTGGTCAGGCTCAATCTTCAACAACAGCTGCTGGGAGCCGCTATCCTCACAGGGGATGGCAGGGGGAAGAGTCTCATCTGGATCGGCCTGGTGCTCATAACCCTGTTCGTCATCTACATTCTGCAGGCCCATCAGAGCTTGGCCATCATCTAGTTGTAACATGTCTGGGCTGGGGTCTAGACCTGGTGAAGGTTCTTGTTTAATTGGCTCAGATTGGCCCAGAAGAAGAGAAGCTTTTAGACCTACAATACCGCTGTCCTGTTCAGGGTCCAGCTCCTGGTCCAGTTCTTGGTCTGAGGTTGGGGAGCTAGCTTCTTCAATGGAATTGGTGAGGTGCGAAGAGCGCCCGCTGCTGGATTCACTGGTCAGGTCCAGCTCTGTCTCTGAGATGGAGGAAATCATGTTACTAGCAAGTGGACCACATGCAAACGTTGACAAACACATTGAGGAACTTCTTTGAGAAAGGTAAATCCGCCTCAGGGGAGGAGTCTTCTTCAGAGGAGCTTAACAGCAAATCAGGTCTCATGCCTCTTTCCATCTGGCCCTGGCCATAAATATCTTCATCTTCATCGACAACTTCCTGATCACAAATAGTAGAGAGTCCATCACTGTCCTCGCTAAGAACAGAGGTACAGCGCTTCAGGCTCACCAGCTCAAGCGTTGTGTTTTCATCCACCACTAGGGTGTACTTCATTGAATCGTATGCCAAGGAGTCATCGATGGGCCGGTCGGAGGTTGTGTTCCTCAACTCTCGCACACTCTCATCAATAGGTGGGGAGCTGTCCAAGTAAGTCTCGTTTCCGTAGGGTGACGGTACCTTGTGAAGATCCTCCAGGAAAGGGGAGGTATCTTGCTCATCTTCATCGTTATCTGTTGAGTACGTAAGACTGAAACAGTGATTGGTCTGTGCTGTTGGGAGGTCCAGCGTAAGGCTGTTTTTGACTTCTGTGATTCGCTGCAAAGTGATCTGATCGACCCGTGTCTCCCGTCCCTCGTCTTTGTCGCTGATTATGCTCTCGCTCAGACTGGGAGACTCCAGCTCCTTCATTCTCTCCATCATCAAGTCATTATTTGGCTCCTCCTCTTCTTCTTTCTGCTTGTTTTTTAATGAGTTCTGGGATGGAAAGTCCTCCGATTCATAATTCTTTGTCCTCGTATCAAATCTCTCTGTAAAGACGGGTGTAGCATTGCCATATGTGGGGTTGCTCATGTACAGACAAGTGTCCGTTCTCTTGTTTTCCTTCTGTCCCTCTTCAGATACATAGCTAGCTTCTCTCTCCTTCTCTTCGTCCAGTCTCTTCTCTGACGTTTCAGAGGTCACCTCCTGTGACTTTTCTTCCGATTTCTGCTTTTGTGAATTGCAGCCATCCGTCTCATTGAAAGTATCTGTTTCCAAGTCCGACGAGGGTGAGATGGTGTCAGAGATCAGCTCTGTCTCTGAGATGGAGGAAATCATGTTACTAGCAAGTGGACCACATGCAAACGCAGCCTCAAGTTCCCCTTCAATATCAGAGTCTGATCCAGGAGAGCTAAGGTCATCGCTGTGGCGGTCTGACGCCGCATAGTGTTTGGCATTCATATCAGCGATACCAGGATCAGATGAAGGAGAAGTTGTGTCATTTGCAGCAGGTTGACCCTGACGCATGTTTCGAAGTTCGTCCATAGCGTCAAGGACGTCTGATCGACTGGACGACACGTAGCTGGAGACAAAAATGGACTCAGCTGGTTCAATGCAGGGGAACTCAACGTAAGAAGACGCCTCATCTTCCTTGCAGGTTTGATCATAGGTATCTTTACTTATGAAGTCAATGTCAAACTCTTTGTCCAGCTCCTCATCTGATAACGGAGTCTCAGCATCGTTACCAAGAGGTGCGGTTGAGGACAGACACCTACTGGTGCCATCGTTTTCCAGCTCTGGGTCATCAGCAGTCTCCGTAGTCACGGTGTAAGTGTCACTGGGTCGAGAGCGGCAAGGTCGACGCTTGGTATGACCATTCAGGTCGTGGTCGACCTCGGTATCGGAGCACTGAGAAGTGCAGTCATCCACTGAGGGAACAAGCTCGCTTAGAGTGGATTCCTCAACATCAGGTTTCACCTCAGTTGCCTCAGACCCACTTGACGAGTTATGTTGACCAAAGGAGCCTGGTTTGGAAGACAAGAAAGATTTGGAAAGAAAAAGAGAGTTGGAGGGGAACTGAGATAAGTTGACAAGGATAAGGACAAAACGAGAAATGTTGCTGAAGACGTCCAATATCACCATGATAATGGATATATTGTAGCCTATATTAATTTTGATTAGCCATTAGCAATATGATTTCTTACCATATTCAGGTCGTTCTTTTCTGTTGCCCTCAAAGTCGTACAGCAGCGGTCTGCCAGGTGACTGATGAAGACCACAATGTCCTGGTGGGTTTGAGGGTGTACCATTGGCAGAGCCGGTGGTGTCTGGAGCCCCTGGGCATGTGGTAGTTACGCAGGAACCATCCTCAAGGCAAGAGTGGTTTGGAGATAAGCAACCTAAAATGGTGAGTAAAATGATTAACAATGGGCTACATTTATAGCTACAGAAATATCCAAAATAGATATTAATCAAAAGAATATGATCAGTGACGTTCTGATGCAATAATTGCATGAATAGTTAGAGTTTGTATAGAGCTTTTTTTTGGAATCTGTTCATATGTTTTGGAATCTTGGAATCATTTTTGGAATTCTGTTTTGGAAATATACTGTATATATATATATAAACAACAATTACCCTGTGAAGTCGGGTTTCGAAGAGAATCCTGCCAGCTTGACTTTCGTGGTGACACATTGCTGTTGTTGTTCAGGGAGTCCTGAGATTAGGACCAAAAGAAGAGTTTAAATACTGACAACATATGTTTATTGATATATTGATTTCAGGTGTGTATAAGAGGTACCTGGGAAACTGGTGCAGTCAGGTTCAGAGTGGTTGGGCGGCTCTTCAGGGTGCCCAGAGTAGGGGAGGGGGGAGGAGATGCTGATGGTGAGGGAGGGGCATCAGGATCTGCATCCTCTTCTTCTTCCTCATCATCTTCATCATCGATCATCTCAAACTCTTGGAAGTCATCTTGGAATGAGCACACTGGGTGGTGGAAATCATTCTTTTCTAGAATTAAGCAGTCCTTTACAAAGAAGAAGAAAAGAAAGGAAGGATTTTAAATATTTTACCTGAAAATAATTTTAAAATATCTGGTGTAGCACTGTAAAACATTACCACAAATCAATAATGCAGCCTGAAACGGGGGTGACTGAATGAACCATTGAAGAGCAATTATACACAAAAATTCGATATCCACAAATATCAGTCAGCATGAACAAGAGCAAATGCTTCTCATGTCTACCATGCATGATTCAACATGACCTTTTTCTCTGCTGTTAATGTTTTGTTCCATTCATTAGTTGGGCCATATGTTCACCCTGGACTGGATGAAGACTTGACTGCTAGCCAGGCCATAATTTCTTAAACATGTGTTACTATATATATAGATCAGTGGTTGCAGGAAAAACAAACCCTATCTTGCAAATATGTTTAATGACAAATACAGAATATATTTATGACTGTAATACTGAAACTAACAGTGAGTTTAAAGAAATAAAGTTTAAAGCACGTTTTAAAGCAGCTATAATTATTCCTGTGTCAAAAAAGCAGCATATTATCTGCTTAGACAATTACAGACCAGTGGCCCTAACACAGGTCGTAATGAAAATCTTTGAGAGATTGGTACTGAAGAATACAATTTCAACTGTCTGTCTGGATTCTTACCAATTTGCTTATAAGACTACTAGGTCAGTCGATGGACGCTGTTGCTCTTTGTTTTCACTCAATCCTGCAACACCTTGAGACTCCTGGCACTTATGTCAGGGCTCTTTTTGTGGATTATAAATCTGAATTTAACACAATTGTTCCAGTAAAGCTCTTTGTTAAATTGGAGCAATTAGGGGTTCATCATTTCCTTGCTTTGTGGATTTTGGATTTTCTACAGAATAGATCACAGGTAGTCAAAATTAACAACAGGATTTCGAGCCCTAGAACAATAAGTGTTGGAGCTCCACAAGGTTGTGTATTGTCACCATTGTTATATATACACTGATGATTGTGTTTCACACAGTGAATCAGTTAAAAAATGTTTAAAGTTTGCAGATAATACTACAATAATTGGTTTGATAACAGATAACGATGAAACCGATTATAGAAAGGAGGTATCTACATTGATTGAATGGAGTTGTACCCACAATTTGAAATTGAATGTCTTAAAGGAAATTGTGTTTGACTTTCGACGGGGTAAAAAGGCTGTTATGCCATTAACTATTAATGGCCAGGTCACTGAAAATATGGAGAGTTTTAAGTTTCTCGGGAACCACAATATCTGCATCATTGAAGTGGCAGGATAACTTAAGAGGCATTATTAAGAAATCTAATCAAAGATTATATTTCTTAAGACAGCTCAAAAAATGTGGAGTATCTAAAGCTGGTATGTTCAGGTTTTATAGAGCTGTCATAGAAAGTGTGCTGACTTTCTCAATAATAGTGTGGTTTGGCAGCTCCACAGTTCAACAAAAAAGTCAGATTCGTAATATAGTGCGGACTGCCTCAAATATTATAGGCTGTGATCTGCCCACCATTGATGACATTTATGGCTCACGTTTGCAGTAAAAAGGCTTAACAATTCTTAGAGATTCCACACATCCGGCCAGACATTTTTTTTTTATTTCTTAAGTCTGCACGCTTTTTGAACAGTACCTATTGTAGGATGGTCCATTTTTTAAACTCTTCTGGCACTTATGCATCTGTATTTCATTCTTTATAATGGTTGGAATCATAGGCACCGATTTATGTTTCTGCCAGTGGGTGCTCACCAAAAAAAAAAAAAAAACCTTGCAGTTTTTTTTTTTTTATATAAAACACATTTTCACTGCTGTTTACACGACTAAAAATACAAATTTAACAAACAAATGTAATATTTTTAAATATTTCATTCTCATTATTCATTAATTAATTATACTGGGTTTTAGTTTTTTTCTAGAGTATAATCCATTCGATGGTGTGTTTGATGAATTCACTTCACAAAATGTATCTTGCGAAGTAAAACGCACAGACTGCAAATAAATTTTTTAGTAACCAAATAATATACACATTCTTTCTATGAGGGCTGCTCTTCACTAAATAAAATGATTTAATAAATACTTGTTTACAATAAGCATATATTCGTGCGTACACAGCTAGGACAAAGTTTGAGGGCGCACACGTAATATCTGAGGGAGCGCAGAGCCATGATCTCTATATAGGAGAGCAAGCCCGCTGCAAACCGAGAGTTTCGTGCTGGCACCCTCTCGTATTACAATAATGCACTCTTGACATTTGTCATTAAAATAACGGCAAAAACTGCCTCAAATGAACTATGAAAAGGAGAATAAAGTCGTACAAGCTGCAATCCATTTCTTATTGTTTAAAATTAACAAAGACTATCTTTTTTCGTGGGTGCTCGAGCCCCTGAGAAATGATCGGCGCCTATGGTTGGAATAATTTATGTATGTATGTATGTACGAATGTGTTTGTGTTTGAGCTCACCATTCTTACTGTCATTGCCTAAATTCCAGACAATTATGTTGTTTGGCAATAAATAAATAAATAAATAAATAAATAAAAATAAAGGAATATTTTAGATTTAAAAAATACTAATAATTTTAAGTGCATTACTTAAAGTGGATGGACTGTGGATGGACTGGACAAAGCTGAGAGGATCATGTCTTATATGATTGGGAAGGGCAGATGGTGATCGATGCTAAAGCTCCTCAGGTTACAGCGCCCTTCCAGGAAAACAAGTCAATGCACTTACATAAGCCTAACGTCTGATATTCACCTCAATTAAGAACGCACACACTAGAGTTAAAATTCTGTTTGTTGCTTGGCAAATGTGTGTGGGTGATGTCATTAAAAGTCTCACGCTGCATTAGATTCACAACCAGCTGGCACTGCAGGGACCTGAATCTATACGCCATCTCTAACCAAATCAATACCAGCAGCCGTCAAACACACCATGACCGATAACCACACTTAGGAGAGAGATGTATATGCTGTAATGCTGTATTGACGTGGTTCTAGCTGTACTGCATGAGTTAGTTTATAAATGCTCTGTTGAAACTCTATCGTTCTGATATTTCCAAGGACGAGGCCTCACCCCTGACCAGCACTGATTTTACATCCCCGCTCAGAAACGGAGTCAGCATTACACCAGCAAAAAGTGTTCTGCTGAGCCAGCCGAACTCACACAGAAGTCATGAATGGATGCAGTGCTCTCGATGCTGACCGCATAGGCAGAGCAAGGGAGAGATGAAGAGGAAAAAATAAAAGATGCAGTGTTAGAAGGTGAAGGAAACACCAAAAGATTGTAAATAAAGAGAAGCTTAAAGAGCACACATACACACAAACACTACAGCACACACACACAAATCAGCTGTATACTGCAGTAGAAGCAGGAAGGAGGCGGGGCAGTGATACCACTGATGTCTCAGACAAGTATCTATACTAATGCAGAGACATTAACTACAGCACTGCACTGCATAATCGAGGGATCTTGAATAATTCATAAGACAACCTATTCATCAGTTCTGAATGAGTCAGTCAGTGTTGCCTGATTTATTATAGTTACAAAAAAAAGTCAATTTTTCCAGGTAATCATATCTCGTTTACTTCAAATAAGATGTAAATCAAATTATATATTATAGTATATTATTAAGAAACTTTATAGGAAAGACCAGGGGTAGTTTTTACACTTATTTAAAAAATGTTTTACCCCAATAAATATTTCTGAAGGTAAGTTTATGTTTATACGTTTGTTTATTTATTTGTTTGTAAAAGTCTTTTACCTTAAAGTGATAAAAAATTTAATTAAATTAAATAAATCATGAACATTCTTACTGTCATAGCCTAAGGGGGAAAAAATAGTTAGGAAGAAAAGAACAGTCCAGGTAATCATATCTTGTTTACTTCAAATAAGGTGTAAAACATCTTATTTGAAGCATAATATATTATTAAGAATCTTTAGGGAAGACCAGGGGTTGTTTTTACACTTATTTTACTTTTTTTTACCCCAATAAATATTTCTGAAGGTAAGTTTATGTTTATAAGTTTATGTTTATTTTTTTTAATTAAATTAAAGTCCTACAGCTTAAAGTCTTGGCAATAAAATAAAATAAAATAAAATAAAATAAAATAAAATAAAATAAAATAATCATGAACATTATTACTGTCATTGCCTAAGGGAAAAAATATAGTTCACTGAACATACGTTGACCTTTTATTTCTATTGAAAATCTACCATTTAATACTCTTGAAAAAATGTATTGTTATTAATTGTAGAAAAGTGAATTACATTTTAAAATATAAAATGTTGAGTAAAAATCTGCCTTGATTATATAGTTAATTATACAAATTGTTGTCCGACTGTATGTCAGTTTTTACTCAAAATCTGAGATATAGCTCTTGAGGCAACTACCCCATGTGACTTTCCCTTATCAACCCTATATAAAATTATTTATTTGATATGAACCTAAACTATTTAAAAAAAAATAAATAAATAAAAAATCCAATTCAAAAACACAAAGGTCCAGTAATAAAATACTGTGAAAGCAGAAATAAAGGTCAATACAGTGTTAGAAGGAATCGGCCACCTGCACATAGCACTGAGCACGTTTACATGCACACCAGTAAGCTGATAACTCACAAATATCAAGTTTATCACAAATATCAAAAATTTTCCCCGTTTACATGCACATCAGTAACCTGGCAACGCAAGTAATCTGCGTTTACATGACTTCATTAATAAATCAGGTTATTTCCCTGTAGTGACGTCAAAATATAATCATTTGCGTATCTGACTCTGAGTATTCCACACATTTGTCAGTTGTGATGTTAAATTAAGCTTGCAACATGTCAACTTGCAACATGTCGGGAAACTTACAGCTCATATATTATCCTCTCATGCAGTTATAAACGCAGCATTGTGACTGAACCACTTCTACTTCTGCTGCACGAGATGAAAACACATTTTTATCATTTTCCACTCCATTTTACTTTCCTGCTGACAGCTATTTACAAGATGTCCACACACAAACAGACACACACACACACACACACACACACACACTGCTCCACAAGAAAAACATCTCACCCTCTTGTCTTTGATCTCTCATTATGAGCAGTTTGGACAGACACTAAGATGGCACATCTCATGCTGCTTAGCTAATCCCTCACACACACACACACACACACACACACACAAACAGTCATCAAACACTATAATTGCAGATTTAACCCTTAAACATGCACTTTAGCTCTACATAATGGGTGGGCCTGAAAAACGGTAGGAAATAATATATTTATATATTTCAGCCATCTTAATGAAGGGTGCACAGCTAGGGAACAAATAATGGACAATAATATAATTTTTTTTAATCATAATAATTATTAACAAATTCATGAAGATCCTAATCACATTCATAATGTGCTCTTTTGAAACCAATATCTTGCACTTTTTTAATAATAAAATGAATTGCTTTCATCAAAACATTCTTCCTACTCTTAAATTCCTTTTCTTTTTCTGCTGTTGTAGGTAAGGCTGCAAAGGAGGGAAGCAGTGCCCCACATGATTTTAAGCCACATATTCTGTTTCATTAAGAAATATGTCATAATAACGCAAGTTAAATGAGTTGTGAATGCCGTTTCATGTTGTTTTTCCAATACTGCACGCTACTCTGCTCAGTTAACGTTCATCAACAGCATACTGTAATATGCAAAACCCCAGAAACCCAAATCTGTTAATTGTACTCTGAGAGCCGGAGCTCTGTGTGACAGAATGAATAATCCATGAAAGAAGCGAGAGAGAGGGTGAGAAAGCTAGAGAGAGAGTGAGAGAGTGTTTGGAAGGATGGAATTGTTGGCTGGAAATGATCTGTACAAGAATCATTCTAGAAACGTTAATGTCAAAATGTCACAATCGTTACTGACTGGCACAATGAGCACAGCCACAAATAGCTAAAATGTATCTATATTTCACAGCATGTGTAGGTGTGTTTTTGTCATGAGATGTGTGATATGGAATGTAAAAAACTGATTCAAGCTGCAAAAGAAAAATTACACATTAATGAAAACCTACTACTGTACTAAATTGTGGGCTTTCTGAAAGCTCTAACAGAAATCACATAAATAAAAATAATGTTTTCACATAAGGCATAAAAGGAAAAATGGATAAAACAAAAATCGGAGAAATTGATTTTAAGAGATGAGCAGATGAGCGGTCTTCACTGGAGAAGTGATATACAGTATCTCTCCCTTTGTAATTGTAGGACTTTAATCTGTTATCAGACAGGTAGAAGAACACCATATTTTTAGATTTTACAAAGATTTTTTCTTTCTGAAAAGATCTGTTATGCAGCTGGTGAAAGCTCAGTGAGCTAAATGGGAATTTATCATTGTAGCATTAGTGTCATTACAACATTTAGCACAAAAACAATCAAATGTGGTTGTGATGGGATAAATAAAATTATTATAAACATTAAATTACTGTTTGGAGAAAATTACAAAGTTTCCGTTCAAAAATATTTATAACTCTGAGAAGAAAAGTCTGAACTTTGAGATATAAACTTACAATTGTGAGAATTTTTTTTTTTTAATTCCATGCTGGAAAAAAAGAATTGTGTGATATACACTCAGATTTGTAAGATGGAAACTCGGAATTACAAAAAAAAAAAAAATCTGAATGTCACTTTTTTCCTCAGAACTGCCGGTTTATATCTCACAATTCTGAGTTTATTTCTCATAATTCTGACTTTATATCTTGCAATTCTGAGAAAAAAAGGAAATTTTCAGAATTGTGAGATAAAAAGTCACAATTACCTTAATATTTTTTTTATCCTGTGGCAGAAACAGGCTTCCATAATAAACCGAATTTCAATGTCAAATGGTAAAAAAATGTCAACATCACTGCCACATGGTAGAAAATGTCCATTACAATCAGTCCACAAATATACTCTGAAAAGCTCCTCCTCCTTGGTTATTGTTGCTAATCTGTCAAACTTTCATAGCAATTGCATGCAGTCACCAAAAAAAGGCTACAGTATAACTACCTTCTTGACCAGTTCAAATGAAAAACAAAATCAGAAATGTAATTTTTTTTCAAAGGATATATAAATCACTTATGCTTCTTATGTTCATTGGAGGCACAGAGGATGTCTTCTGTGATTTTGTAGACTCTAGTTGCATAGACACGGGACAGGCCCTTCAAACACGATGCAGTGTTGCTTCCACGTGACATAATCCTGTGGGACAGGTGTTTGTGTGTGCTGAAATAGAGCCGCTAACTGTGGCAAAAAAAGAAAAACTAGCCAGACACACTGCATGGACTCTGTCGCCCACTTTGAGATCAACCAACCAATCAATAAATGACCAGCCTATGGACCATCCAATCACCATCCAGAACCAACTAATCAATCTGCCTACATACTGAACAATGTGAGGTCACTGCATGCTATGATGCCCACAGACTGCGATTGTGGACCGAATCACTGCATTTAAATCAATTTGACACACCAAAGGCATGTGAGGCGTTATAATCGAAGCGATACATGCTTGTTTGAACATTTTGCAGAGAACACAGGCAGAAAAAATTAGGAGCAGAAGTGGTTTTGTTGTAATAGGATTGGGGTGCAGAAAGCTGAGAAGAGAGGTCTGCATAGCAGCAAACTTCACTGGGTCTCCAGCCCTTCTACTGGAAACGTGGCACACCGCCACCACAATAAAACATTTACAATCCCTCAGTGCAGCCAGCACACACATAGCATCAAATACAAATATTTCCACATCCATATTAACACAGTACAAAGGGAAAAGACTTCTACATTTGGATGTTTTACAATAGTTCAATATAAATTCATGTTTTCATTCCATTTAATGTTAACATTCAGAATTCAACTGAGAATGTTTTTTAAAGGTAAATCCTGAATTTGAGTTGAATTTTAATTGACATAGCAAACAGGATGCGGAATTGCATCAAAAATCTGAATGTAAGGGAGTAGAATTGAGTATGAAAGTAGAATTGTTTCAATTCAGAGAAATTCATTCAAAATGCAATTTTCATAGACAAATAGATGGACAGATAGATAGACGGAAAGATGATAGACAGATAGAGAGAGCGCGACACAGACAGACAGACAGACAGATAGATAGATAGAATTTATGCTTTCAAACCTAGAGCCTTTTAAAATGCAAATGAGCTCTTTGACATGCATGACTGCCAAGTGAAGTGATGACACTATTTCCAAAGGTGCGATAAGCCACATATTCATCCATATGTAAATATGTGTATATTAGCTGCACTTCCTGGGTAAATAAACAGCCTGCTGAGCACAGTAGAGCTTACAGTTTCCTTTAAGTACCACACTAGACTGTAGTACACTAGACTCACTGAATAAAATAAAATAAAATAAAATAAATAAAAAATAATAATAAATAAATAAAAAAAATAAATAAAATAAAAAAAATAAAAAAATAAAAAAAAAATAAATGCATTGTGAATTAATGTTGGGCGATATGGTCATTTTTCAAATCATCATATCGCCAGCCCGTGAGATCGCCGATACACAATATTATTAAGGGTGGGTGGGGGCAAGAGAGAGACTCTCTGTACTTGTCATAGGCTATTTCATAACTATGTGGTGTTTTAAACTGCGCGGGCGCGCGAGAAAGAGCTTATAGAAGCACCAATAATCCAAATAATATACTTTCAAACATACTGATAAACTAACATTTTAAATATAAAAATATTTAAAACAGCAAGTTCATATATATTCGGATACAACAGTCATACATCGCTATTAGAACCGCGCGTCCTGTGACAAGTTTGCCGCATCGGCGCAAGGAAGTTATCAGTATAAAAGGTCTGCAAAATCAGCCAACGGTGAAAATCAAAAGTAGATTTATTTTAAAGACCAACAGTTTAACACTAAATATTGGACATAAACAAACACGTTAAATATAAAAGTATTTAAAACAGGCAAGTTCATAAATTTGGAGTAAAGTTAAATTGAACGGATACATCAGTCATATACAGCGCTCCGGACCACGTGCCCCATGACGAGTCCGACGCGCCGCCACAGAGACAAGAATGAGATGCTTTCTAACATAACTGTGGCATTAAACTCATTAGTGAGGGCTCAGTTAAAATATTGCACATACATAGGCCGTTCAGATTACTTGTTAAAGTGCAATGAAATACCTTATAATAATTTAATACATTAATAGGAGAATGAGCCTAATATCGTCTTGACTATCGACAAAGACATCTGCTATCGTCAATATCTCTGACTATCGTCGATACACGATACTATCGTCTATCGGCACAACCCTATTGTGAATGGTTCATACCTTTTCGTAAGGGTCAGAGTCATAGTTGAGGCCTATGCCACAATCATCTGTGATTTCAGACAAATCTTCATCATCAAACTCCTCCAGACTGATGTCATGAGCCGGCCTGCAAACAGAAACACAAATAATGAATACAAAAGTTCTCCCATTATTTGAAATACTCATAAATCAAATCATGATTTTCTTTAAATGTACTGAAATCAGCAGGGTTGTGTGAGGGTTAGAAAATATCATCACCTCTGTATACAAACCATAGCATCTATGAGATGTGCTGGCTAATATGTGTGTGTGTGTGTGTGTGTGTGTGTGTGTGTCCCTGTGGAAGTCTGATCTGAAATATGAGCTGCTAAGACATAGCAGCTGATTTCACACACACAGGTCACTAGTCTAAGAAATCCACAAGGTCACTCAGATTAGCACACTCTTTCATATGCACACACACACACACACACTCACTGACACAAACACAGCAGAAGCACAGCACCAGCTAAGACATGGCCACCACACCTTTAAGCAACATCATTTCTCTCCTCCACCATCCCCGTTCATTACTGATAAGTGGGTTAGCATGCTGCTAAATAAGGCTAGCCTCTGTTTTGCTTTATTTGGCTCTACTTTGGCTCAGCAAAATGCATTAACCCGGATTCTGCTGTATGCTAGCCGCTAACGCAGGGACGATTTCATCTCAGCTGAGCTCCACTCGGCTGACAGCAGTGCTGCAATGCAGCTTTTCATAGTCAGAGCGCCACAATCACACAAATCTGTAGTGTACGGAGGATTCACGACAGAACAAGAGAAAGAGGGAGGAGGAGAGAGACTTGTTTACTGTGTGCGCTTGTCTGAAAATATTGATATTTTTAATATAGATCTGGATTCAGAAGCAGAAGTCCCTGTGTAATGCTTTAATCAAATTTTACCGTAATAAGTCGTACAGTTATTAATCTACTAATATTGCTACAAAAAATGACATAGGATGAAACACGCAGGTTAATATCGGCACTAAAATCAGAATGGCTAAGCACTTTGAAAGTTGTTGCAATATATCTCTGACCACACATCAGTTAAATTCTATAAATTATGTAGGACGCTGAAGTTGAGCAGTCCAAAATGTTCCACTGACTGTAAATCGCTCTGGTCCTCTTATAAATAATATTTAGAAATTGTTGTCAGCCCATCCATGAACCTGAGAGCAATAAATAAAAAAATAAATAATATTTAGAAATTGTTGTCAGCCCATCCATGAACCTGAGAGCAATAAATAAAAAAATAAATAATATTTAGAAATTGTTGTCAGCCCATCCATGAACCTGAGAGCAATAAATAAAAAAATAAATAATATTTAGAAATTGTTGTCAGCCCATCCATGAACCTGAGAGCAATAAATAAATCATATTTTATTAAGTAAATAATTAATCAATCCATTAACTAATAAATATAAATAAAATAATACAAAATAAATTACAAAAAAAGTCCCAGGCCCTGTGATTTTTAGTGACAAACATGGTTAGAATCAATAATTTAATACTCGAATAGTTAAATGCATGTATTTATGTAATTTATGAAGAAATAGAACATTTAAATAGAATAATATAATAAAAACAAAGTAAAATGGATTCAACTTTGTCATTTAAAAGGGAAGCAGTTCACTCCAGATTTTTTATTTATTTTGTGGTTTCTGATCCCCTGTGTATACGCCTGTTTGTAAACCAATATCATCTATGCACATCATAAAAACAGCTTCATGTGGGCAAACATGATTTATAATGTGATGAAATACTTCCTGAATGCAGCATTTGCTCATTTGTGTTGTTTTGGTCTTTTAATGTGATAATTTCTCTGCTGGCACTCATATCCTTTTTACTCACAAGGCGCATTTAAGTGAATCACATTCATCAATAATGACTCATTGTGTTCTATGAATGTTCAAGCTATTCCTGGTTTTTGTGTCACAGGTCAAAACTGCTGAACTCATGACTAACTATGCTGACAAAAATATTACCAGTCATCTTCTAAAAACCACAAATCATTTCATCAGTAAAGTATACCTCCAAAACAAATGCTAAACCATGAATTGGTCTGCATTTAACATATGAAGCCTTGCAAGCTCAGTAATGGCATTCGCTCAGCCGTCTTTTGAAAAAAACAAGCAAAAATAATAAAATAGTATTAACATACTTGAGGAGGAACCTGCTAGGCTCATTCAGAAAAGCTCAGTTTGGCAGTGAAGTGGCTTTTGGAGAAGTGAACACCACCAAGTATCAGTGTCAAATGTACTGGGCTCCAGTCAGCTCTGAAATGGTTAAGTGGCTGTTCAAAAGGTAGTAGTACTTGTTCTTTCACATTTCTCTGGGCTTTTTGACTGTATGATATTTGACTTCATATGATTTCATTCTAATCAGCTATACAAATGTATGTCCTATTTTTCTACTGTTGGCAGTTTAGACTATAGATATTAACAAGCTAAATCCAGAAGTTAAATATTAAAATTGCACATGCAGTGTTTTGTCATTTAACTTAAATATATAATTATATATAATTATTTAATTAAGTTAAAAATATATGTATTTAATAACACTGAAGCAACCTGACAATATATGTAAAAATTGTTCAAAGTCATACAGCTGTGGAAATCTTGTTGTTTCAGTGGCCTGTCTGTCAAAGCCTGATTCACAGCACAAGGGAAATCAAGTGTGTAGAATCTCATCATGTGTGCTGACCTGTGGGTCAGATTCCAGATGAATGAACAGGAGATGGGCTGGTGTAATCAGGGATGCCAGGCTATTGTCAACACTGGCACCTCCCTCCTCATTTTCCCCCAACAATAAATGGCAACCCTGACTCTACTGGAGCACAACAGAACCAGACTGGAAAGGTCAACTACTACTATTTCTCACCTCTATGCAAGAGATGGGCAGATTTTTTCATGCTTCTAACAAGCTGTGTTTGCTTTTCGGTGACTTGATAAAGCAAAATTATTGATGGTTTTCTTTTACCCAGATGTTCCAAAAAGCTTTCTGTAGAGGAAAAAAAAAGATATGTATAGATATATATAATTTATATACATGTTAAATGGATAGTTCACAAAAAAAAAATCTACCATCATTTACTCATACTCAAGTTGTTCTAAACCAATATGAGTATCTTTCTTTTGTTAAACACAAAATAACATATTTTTGAATTTGAAGAATTTTTGTAACCAGACAGTTGCTGTTAATCATTGACTTCCATGACTTGGGAAAAAATACTATGGAAGTCAATGGCCACCAGCAGCTTTTTGAGTACCAACATTTATATCTTCTTTTGTTCAAAAGAAAAAAAAATGGTAACACTTTAGTATAGGGAGTCGGGACCAATTCTCACTATTAACTAGTTCTTTATTAGCATAGCTATTATTAATATATTAACTGTTTATTGCTTATAAAGCACAAATTCTGCATGACCATATTCTACATCCCTAATCCTACCCAATACCTAAACTTAACCAAACTATTAATAAGCAGCAAATTAGGAGTTTATTGAAGCAAAAGTCGTAGTTAATGGTTTGTTAATAGCGAGAATTGAACCTTAAAATAAAGTGTGACCCAAAAAAATCATACAGATTTGCAACAACATTAGGGTGAATAAATGAAAAAATTTTTATTTTTGGGTGTACTATTACTTTAATTCACCATCCTGTCTTTTTTTTCCTTCTACAGAACACAAAACATTTTTAAAAATATAAATAAATAAAAATATCTCCTGTCTTCGACAGTAGAACAGAATTTTCAGAATTTTCCTTTTTTGGTGAACTAAGTAGTATGTTACAGTATAAACAAACAAACAAATAAAGTCAATATGATTCAAAGTGGATCGACGTACAGCAACTCGTATGGTTCAGCTTAACAATCTCTGAGTTTAGAAAGGTTTCCAGAAAAAGCTAATATTTCTCTAACCTCTGTCAACCTGCCATCCTGATCAGAGCACCATTTACAGGGATTTCAGTGCTGAAAATATTTCTACATGAGCCTCTAATGACCCTCCCATGAGATGAAACACGGGAGTGTGGAAATAATCCCACATACATGAGAAAAACCCAGACAGTGGATTGTGTGCTTTGAAGATACGTTTTAATGAGCTTCTGTTTAATCACTGAAATATCAGAGGATTTAGAAGAACGTCGCTCCACTGAGCAAGTCAACCCCAGTGTGTGTGTGTGTGCGTGTGTTTAGGGTATAATGCCACTTCTAGGACTAGCTAAACCAAATCGTGCCTCACACATAAAAAATAAAAAAAAATAAAAAAAAACAGATCTACAGCAGATCTCTGTCTCCATTCACAGTCCATGCTCAGATCTAAACTGTGGCTTGACAGCAGACAGTACAGGAGCTCCTGGGAGAAGCTGTGCTCTAGACTCAGAACCACTCTGTGATATTAGTTACAGACTCACAGTGATTCATGAATCATGAATGAGTTCACAAAAACCAGATCTAGCAGCAGTGCTAATGACGGGATGCATCTACAAACACATTTAGCTTTGCATATTAACCTACAGTAAGTGGCAAGGTATTTAAAGTCAGTTTTACCTCATTAAAAGTGTTTTACATACACACACACACACACAAAACATAAAATAATGTGTTAGTATTCTATATGCAAAAAAAAATGTGAAAAAAATCCCATAAACTCTTGGCGACATTTCAGCATTGTAGTGACAGGTTTTGCACGTGCAAACACAGCATGTGTTCTGTGATGATAAGGAATGGTTATTTATTGTTAAATCAATTAAAATGGTATGAGGGAATGGGCGAGATCATTAACTGTAAATCACAGCGACAAAAAGATTTAGTATGTCCCATCTCCAGATGGGATGTTATTCACATAATTAATCAAAGATAAAACACCTGTTTTCTCAATGAACTTCTAACCTCTCCATGAAGCCTTATCAATCTTGTACATGAAGAGATTATTTATTAGGATTCCTTACTGATGACCATCTTGATGGCTCCTCATGTTTGATTGTTTCCCAAAGACCCAATTTTACTCTCCAGTTGGCCGCTCCAAACCCGTTAATCCTAATTACAAAAGGTGGGGCATGTTTCAGGCCCTGGGGGACGCACACACGGTGCCAATCACTGGCTGTTGCCATAGTAGCTGCGCTGTACAAGGGGTGATGTCACACCACTAACAGAACACCACTGAGACACACGGCAGGTTAAGTAGGGTGAGGTCACCTCTGCAGCTGTCACCATGACAACCACATCCCACCAGAGATGGGCTTAATGTGCTGAATCATGCATCTATTCACCAAGCTGGTTTGTTTTCAAACAATGGTGACTTCTGGACTGTTGCATGCACTGATACTTCAATACATTCCAAATGCAATAAAGAGTCAGATTAGAAAGAAAGTCAGATTAACATGAATAAAATAACAATACTAATAGTCAGACAGTGATTTTTTTTATTATGTTTGATTTCTGCAAATAATAATTAACCATAACACACTATAGACTACAAACTTAACTTTTCTTTCAAACATGCATTCTTGTTCTTACCATGGCTGTGTGATATTGACAAAAAAAAAATTTTTTACAAAAATAAATAACAACAAATTCCATACCGATAATTAAAAGATTTTTTGCTAAGTGTGTTTTTTTCCTTGTACTGGTTTAGGCCTGTCATCATGGGCGTCGCTAGGCCATTTTTAGGGGGGCTATAGAATAAACATTTTGTGATTAGCTCCATAAACTGTACACAAATTCGTGATCGCCTCAGTTTCCTTTAAATTTCTTAAGAAAACGGCGGCAGACTTCAATCGGCTCCTCGCCATCTTTCAGCGTGTTCTTTTTCAATCCGCGGCGACGCAGAGCGAGAAACAGAGGACAAGGTGTGCGTTTATCGACAGATTGTTATAATATCTGCATCTGTGTAGTTCTTTGTCATAAATCCAGCTTACAAAATATCATGGGGGAGTAATAATCGGTTCCCCATCTACTGTAGCTTAAGTTTTCACTGCGTTCACCCCTCATCACACCACAGCTGTTTCCTCCAGTGAAAATGAAGCACATATGAACGCATACTTTATAAAACGATCATGTTGCATATTTTCATTTGAAAATGTAACTTTCAATATATTACATATTGCAGTGCATGTGGCAAAGAGGATTGCATACTTGAGCTAAGGAAAGAGGGTTGTACTAGAAATGCAAACAGTAAAATTTTTTATTATACCCTCACTGGGGGCTGAGCCCCCCTAAAATGAAAATCTTAGAATTGCCCCTGCCTGTCATGGATAAATAAACAGGATACTAAAACCGGCAATAGGCAATGGCAAGTCTCTGTCTTAATGAGTGATTCATTAAATCATTAGTTCAAACAATTCTTTCAAACAGGCTGATTCAATTAGAAACGAAGCAAGTTGACTGTATTTATGAACAGATCATTGAATTATTGACTCAAATGATTCATTCGAGAACAGATTCATTTAGACAAAAACAGGCAATATTTGTGTCTGTTTGTAGAACTACTGTATAAAATCAGTATCATTCGTGATCACGCTCATGTGCTGATATTCGTGAAAACGGATATTATTCAACTATATCATATATTGTACTTTTTAGCAACATCATATGAGCTCTTTAAAAACAAAAAAAAACATACAGGGTTATTTTTTGCTTTCATAACTTGAATTATATGGGCATTCTAACCGCATTCTAGCTTAATCATGCAGTGAATGCTTTTGAACTCTCAAGATGTTTTTTGTTTTTTTTGAGTGACATACTGTCAGCTCGCATATCATTAAAAAAACAATTATGATATTATTATAGATGGTAAATTTCTTACTTATATCTAGTTCTACATCTAAACAACAAAGAGAATGATCTGAGAATTAAGGGACACTAATGAAGCAAAACCCCAGGAAACCCAGCATCGACTTATACACAGTACTTGACTGTAAGTGTCTGCATTAATTATGAGGAAAGGAGTAGAAAAGGAAATAAAACAGCTTAAGAAGAGGCTGCTTTCATGGGTGTATTCTACACTGCATTAGTATGTTTGTTTGATATGCTCGTCTCTTTATGTCCCTCTGCAGTGTCTATTTGAGAAAGCTTGAGGTTCTGTAGAGAGAGCATCAGCCCTAACACCACAGTGCATTACCTAAGAGTACTGCTGAGCCATGCGTATCACACACACACACACACAGAGAGCGAGCCACACTATGCTCCCTGGTCAGTGAAAATCCATGCCATAATTCAACCCACACACAGTATGAGAAATGGGAAAATCCCTTTTGTGTACTAATGCTTCACATTTTTCTTTTTATATATTTTTTCAATAAATATATTTAAAAATATATAAGCTTCATGTGGAAACATCTAAATTAACTGGTTTACAACAAATTAGATTTATTATTATTAGATTAAGCAAAAATAGATCAAAAACAGTACAAATATCTACTTTCTACGTAATATTTTAAGCCATTTAAATACGTTTTGCACTTTTTGTACGCATCTACACTTCAAATGCTTTGGCTACACACTGTAATAAATGATTTTTTTTGAAGTTGCAATTAAAACAAAGATAGTTAGATTAAATTATTAGAAGAAAATACTATTTCCATCTTACTAGTTAAACAATTCACATTTAATTCAGTGTTACTTGCCATTTCTTTTTGTAATTATTTGTGAAATTTACTAACAATTTCTAAGTGAAAATTTTTTCAGACCAATTTTTTCAGAGTACAAAGTATTTGTGACGTGAATCATGCACATAAACAGAGAGCCAGAGGGTATGCCATGTGCAAATACTGTACCATACTGTGTAAAAGAATCTTGAAAATAATTCATCATAGTTTCCACAAAAATATTTAGCAGCGCAACTGTTTCAACTTTGATAAGAAGCAATAAGATTCTTGCAACCAAGCAGATGTTTACTGCCAAACATAAAACATTCATTTTCAGAAGCCGCTCCAGCATGCACACACACAAACATTTTCATAATATTTCTGTATTCCAAAGGGAGCAGCTGTAGACTTACAAAAACAGCTTAAGAAGAGGCTGCTTTCATGGGTGTATTCTACACTGCATTAGTATGTTTGTTTGATATGCTCGTCTCTTTATGTCCCTCTGCAGTGTCTATTTGAGAAAGCTTGAGGTTCTGTAGAGAGAGCATCAGCCCTAACACCACAGTGCATTACCTAAGAGTACTGCTGAGCCATGCGTATCACACACACACACACACAGAGAGCGAGCCACACTATGCTCCCTGGTCAGTGAAAATCCATGCCATAATTCAACCCACACACAGTATGAGAAATGGGAAAATCCCTTTTGTGTACTAATGCTTCACATTTTTCTTTTTATATATTTTTTCAATAAATATATTTAAAAATATATAAGCTTCATGTGGAAACATCTAAATTAACTGGTTTACAACAAATTAGATTTATTATTATTAGATTAAGCAAAAATAGATCAAAAACAGTACAAATATCTACTTTCTACGTAATATTTTAAGCCATTTAAATACGTTTTGCACTTTTTGTACGCATCTACACTTCAAATGCTTTGGCTACACACTGTAATAAATGATTTTTTTTGAAGTTGCAATTAAAACAAAGATAGTTAGATTAAATTATTAGAAGAAAATACTATTTCCATCTTACTAGTTAAACATTTCACATTTAATTCAGTGTTACTTGCCATTTCTTTTTGTAATTATTTGTGAAATTTACTAACAATTTCTAAGTGAACATTTTTTCAGACCAATTTTTTCAGAGTACAAAGTATTTGTGACGTGAATCATGCACATAAACAGAGAGCCAGAGGGTATGCCATGTGCAAATGTGTACAATGTACAAAGCCTTTTTATCATTATAAAGCTACTTCAATCTGAATTGAGAGAGACTGAGATTTTCTCTTCATTAAGACATCATCCTGAAGCATTAGAGAATGCAGAGTGCGGCCCATTATTTCTACTCTGAGAGATGACAGGTTTATGGGAGGACAAGGAGAGCATACGAACCCACAATTCCACTGTAAAGTAAACAATGAGAGAAAAAGAATTACAAAAATGTAGATTAAGAGAAGAACAGCTGGAAAGGGGTGCATCAATTTGAGCTGACAACAAAAACATCACATTGGCGTTTTTTTAAAGCTGTTTTTTAAGACCTGCCCTGTTCCAGCACGGGGCTTTAGGTCGACGCTTGACCTGAGATCGTCAGACTGTCAGACATGTGATGTGACCTGCCAGACTCTTTTGATTCATTCTGCTGGAAGCTTAGGGTGTTCTGACTGTTTTACCTCCGCTCACATGTACTGAGGGAAATGTAGTTTTAGTATAAAGGTGGAAGGATTGCTTTGTCTCTCTGTCTGTCTGTCTATGTGTGTTTGCCAAGACTGAATGTACCTTGTGACTAAACATCACCTTCATTTCAGGAATAAAATGTGATACAACACACACCTTTGCATTAATGCACTAGATGATAGAGTGACAGGAAGACTATAGCGTGCTATGGAGAAAATGAACTGTCACTCTTAGGATGGTTATAGCCAACAATTTCCCTTCAAAACTGGCTAAATCTAAACTATACTTCATTTACTGTCACCGCACTTTAATATTTACTTGCATCGAGCAATTCAATCAAACGAGGATCAGATATTTTGTTTTTTAAAAAGCCAACAACCCAAATGAAGTAAATCAAAATTATTTGAATCATTTAAAATAATTATGTTTTAAAGGAATAGTTCACCCAAAAATAAAAATTTGCTGAAAAAGTTTCCTCTCAGGTTATCCAAGAATAACACTTCCTCCAAGTCCATCCACTGTTATCTTCTGCCATATTTGACATACATGTTTCTTTAGAACTGCTTTGGACTGTTTTCGCTTGTAAAAGGTGCTTTTTCTGTGCACATTTCTCTTGTGATTCAGATGAGACAACTAGAGAAAACAGTATTATGGATCTAGGTCTCATATTTAGCCAGAGGCAAGAGTTTGATATGAAAAACATCTTAATGATGGATTTGTTTCAACACACAGCTTTCAACTTCACAACACTCTGATGATGCTGATTCTGATGAGGGAGGGGGGCAGAGGCGCGTGCATGGATCTCATAGAAATAGAACGAGCGGCTAGAATGCCAATCAACGTTAACTTGGTCCTATAAGTGGGTGTGGCTTAGAGGTCAAGAGGCTGTCTCTGATTGGTCAGGTTGATGGGTTAATTCGAATTTTATTTATTTATTTAATTTCTCTCTCTTCACTGTTTATTGAATTAAATGTTAACTGGTTAATTAACAGGTTAATTATCAAGCACTGCATGTTTGCTCATATCAATAAACCGGTGTCTATGTAACAATCATAAAGCATAGATCATTCAGTTGGATAATTAACCCTTATTCTGCCACAAAGGAGCTGTTCAGTGATCGGTGCTGAAAGCCTTACTAACAAGAGTAACCCACAGTGGTGGAAGTGAGTAATGCAGGGAACATGGTGTGCTGCAATTCAAATATGAAGGTCGTTTTTGGACGTGGGGATTCCTGTACAGACAAAATATTTGCTGACAAAGTGATTTTAAGGTTAGCGTGAATGTGTGTTTGTGTGAGAACTGAGAAAGACAGAGAGAGCTTGAGAGACTCAATGCTGTACTCCCCACAGTACTAAAATTTCAGCTGTAAATGCTGTAAGATCTGATCACAAAACGCTATGGAATTTAATCTTTACACTAATATAACTCAGATGTGCAGGTTATCTAAGAGTATTAGCCAGGCTTGTTTTAAGAAACACGCACTTTAAACATTTTTACTTTTTTCACTTTTGTTTTTCATTTGACTTTTTCCTCCAATTCCTGATTTATTTTTGCCCCAATTAGTCTCTGACCCTGCTATCTATCTATCTATCTATCTATCTATCTATCCGTCCGTCCGTCTGCCTGTCTGTCTGTCTATCTATATCTTCCTCCTAACTGTTATCATCAATAACAGAGCATTACCCACACAAATACTATCACACTAATACACATTACACTAAAATATTTCTATACACATTACTAAACAGTCCACAATATAACACAATATAAAACTCCACTGTAATAAATCATTTAAAAATAAATACAAAATGTACACTTCAAAAGTGTTTTCAACAATAAGGTAAATCATAATTTTATTCTTCATCTAAAAACACATTTTAATATTTATTATATTTAGAGTGAAATTATATATTCTATATTATAAATGTAATTTTACCGTCAAGTTACTTCAATTAACTATTTAATAGATTTTACTGTAACATTTTACTTTTCAGTGCTAACCTAACTACACTTCCCAATACTCATTGTAGTCGTAAAGGAACTGACCAATCAGCGCTCTGACTTTAAGGGGCGGTACTAGAAATGCGTTGTGTGCCGCGCTATCCAAATCTGATTGGTTAAAATAAACGTCAATCTTCTTAAGTCACTCTGCACTGTCTGCGCAGTGACAACGCTAGCGGTTACTTCACAAGGAAGTAGTGGAAGTTGAAGTGGGAAGATGTTTAATTAACAGCCTTTACAGTTTGTTAATACGTCTGCGTATTTAATGTAAAGTTCTGTTCTGTTATCGCGAGCGATTAGACGTTTCATTGTGCGCTCGTGATAGTGGTGCATGTGCGTTTATTCACGTTCAATTAATGCTGCTTCTGGGGCGGATAGGTGTCATTACTTATAGCGGTTCGGTTCTCTCACTCTCTTTAAGGAGCATTGGATTTCTAGCGTGTAAGATCATGAATTCCAGCCAGACAGTGAAGTGCATGAGTGATGGAGCTGGAAGTGTAGGCAGATGCGTCGAGGATGACGCGGATTCAGTCAGACCTGCTGGCGGAGACTCCCTGATGGCGGCCGAGGAGAGACATCCGAGATCTGCCAGTCCCCGCGGTGTGAACGGAGAAGATGATTCTGAAGCGGAGTCCCATCAGGACGGCCGTAACGTGAATGTGGACCCGGAGACTAGGAGGAGGGCGTTCAGCTGGTGCCGTGACTTTCTGTCCGGATCATGGAAGGCTATATCGGAGCATGACTTTCATATCAAAATAGTCAGGTGAGCAAACTATTTATAAAAGAACTTTAGGTCTCAAAATGATTTCATTTAACTTTTCATATACACTAGTCAACACTTGAAGTGTACCTTTCATCAAAAGTTGTCCTAAAACCTAAAACCAAAATGCACTCTTGTCTTAGGACAACTTTGATTAACTTTTTTGATCCACTTCAAATGTTGACTACTGTATTTATAATAATAAAAACAATATTTAATGTGAATTTTTCTATATTATGTTTATATATATTAAAAACATAATATAGAAAAAAAACTGCAGTTCAAATGTTTGGGATCAGTAAGATTTTTAATGTTTTTTAAAGTTTCTTATGCTCATCAAGGCTGTATCTATTTGTTAAGAAACACACACAAAAAACGAATTTTGTAAAATATTATTGCAATTTAAAATAACAGTTTTCTATTTTTTATATACTTTAAAATATAATTTATTCCTGCGATGCAAAGTTGAATTTTCAGCATCATTACTCCAGTCTCCAGTGTTACATGGTCCTTCAGAAATCATTCTAATATGCTGATTTAAAATCAATGTTGGAAACATAAATAAAAAGTAAAAAAAACTAGAATAGAATAGAAATTTTGTGCTACAATATACACTACTATTAAAAGGTTTGGGGTCAGTGATTTTTTCTTCTTTTTTTAAAAGAAATTAATACTTTTATTCAGCAAAGATGTGCTAAATGGATTTTAAAAAAGTGATAGTAAAAACTTATATTGTTAGAAAAGATTTTGAAGAAAAGCTGTTTTGTTTTTTTTTACGTTTTATTCAGCCTTGATGAGCATTAAAGACTCCATTAAAAACATTAAAAACCTTACTGAATACTGATCAAAAACTTTTCAACGGCAGTGTATATGTATGTGTGTATATATATATATTACTACACACACACGTATTACATATACATAGAAATAAAGAACAATACTGCTTTTTTGTTCCCACAGTGGAGGACTCAGTAACCTGCTGTACATGTGCAGTTTACCCGCCGATGTTCAGCCCTCTGGGGTCGAACCTCGACGAGTTCTGCTCCGGATCTACGGGGCCATTCTACAGGTGTGCCACTCTGACCATATTATATATTAAGTAGACCAAATATGCTGTTGCAAAAGCTGATAAGAGTCTATATCTTGGGCAAGATGTTTATTGCCCAGTGCTGTCGATTCCCTGATGTCATATAACTATGTAATCATGCTATGCATGTTTGCTCATATACATCTGTCTCTCTGTGTTCACACACAGGGAGTGGATTCTCTTGTTTTGGAAAGTGTGATGTTTGCCATTTTAGCAGAGAGAGAGTTGGGCCCACATCTCTATGGCATTTTCCCAGAAGGTCGTCTAGAGCAGTACTTGCCTGTGAGTCTTAATCCAAAATCCCAGATTCTATATGCATGTTTTAAAAATAAACCTTTAAACACAGCTATACTTGAATTATGCAGTCAAGCTTCAGAGACATTTGCATGCCTTAAACGTAGATAAAATATTTATCATTCGCCATATTTCTGTATGCATAATCTAAGAGAGATAATCAGATCTTTTTTCTCTTCCACAGAGTAATCGCTTGCGTACGGAGCAGTTGGGGTTCCCAGAGATCTCAGCTGAAATAGCCAGTAAAATGGCACGATTCCATGGGATGCAGATGCCATTCAACAAGGAACCCAAATGGCTGTTTGGAACCATTGACCGGTAAAAGTCTCACACTGTCTTCTGACTGCAGTCCAACGGTTATAGAAACAATCACTATCTGTGTATTTTTTTTTAAATACATGCTTCTATCCCAGAATATGCAGATTAGTATTCATACCTGAAAACTTTGTAACTGTCAAAACATTAGCTTATATTACGTTGTAGCAACACTGGCTGAACCAATGAGTTTGGCTGTTTGGGAATAGCTGTTTTAAACAGACATACTGTATTTTGTTGCAACTGTACAGAAATCACAAGCTTTAATTACTCTGTTTACCTCAAGAATAACAGAATGTGCCTCAGATAATGGAATTGAGCTAGTGTATGACATGGACTTTAATATGTTTTTTTAATTATATTTAAATTATGCAGATGGTGGTTTAACATGTGTGCTGTGTATATTTCTATTGGCATAAGTGTTAAAATGACTGTTTATTCTTCTGAACAGGTATATGGAACAAGTTAAAATAATACAATTTGTGCGTGAAGCTCACATCAAGAAATTTACCAAGCTAATGAAGTATGATCTTCCTGCAGAACTGGAGAATCTGAGGTGAGAAAGATGACACGTAAATTAAAAGAGCTGAAAGGATGAATGGAAAGCGTGTTGTGATACTTGAGCTTCCAGATAACAGCAAATGGTCAAGGTATAAGTGTATGTACACACTACTGTTCCAAAGTTTGGGGTTGGTAAGATTTTTTGTTGTTGTTGTTATTTTTTCTTATGTTTTTCTTATGTTTTATTTTAGTGTCTTATGTTAAAGGGTTAGTTCACCCAAAAATGAAAATTAGCCCATAAATTACTCACCCTCAAGTCATCCTAGGTGTATATGACTTTCTTCTTTCAGACGAATCCAGTCGGAGTTATATTAAAAATGGTCTTTGATCTTTCAAGCGGTTTAATGCCACTCAGCGGGTGTTGCATGCATCAGTCCAAAAGAAGTTAAATAAAATGCGCCCATCCATTAAAAAAAAGTGTTTTTTTCATACGGCTCTGGGGGGTGAACAAAGGCCTCCTGTAGCGAATCGATGCGTTTTTGTAAGAAAAATATCCATATTCAAAACGTAATAATCACTTTAATGTAGCTTGCGCTCACTGTTGTACACTGGAAGCAGCTCCGGGGGAATGACGTATGGAGGTCAGCGCTGCGCATGTGCCAGTGAGTCTCGTGAAAACCAACGTTTGTTAACAGGAGCAAAGGAAGCAAAACTTTCTTACTTTAGCAAAGGAAAACCAGTCTTTGAGCAGCGCATGCGCAAAGCTGACCTCCATACGTCATCCGCCCGGAAAAAAAATACAATTGAAAATTACTGTTTTCTATTTGAATATATTGTAAAATGTAATTTATTCCTGTGATGCAAAGCTGAATTTTCAGCAGCCATTATCTAGTCTTTAGTGTCACATGTTTCTTTGTCATCTTATCATTCTAATATGCTGATTTGGTTCTCACAATAAGTAACATTTATTGTTATCAATGTTAATAATGGTTGTCTTGCTTAATATTTTCAGGATTCTTTGATGAATAGAAAGTTCCAAAGAATAGCATTACTTTTGTAACATTATAAATGTCTTTACTGTAACTTTTGTTCAATTGAATGCATTTTTGCTGAATACAAGTATTAATTAGGCTACTTTCAAAAGAAAAAAAATCTTACTGACCCCAAAACTGTTGAACAGTAGTGTAAGTGTGCTTGTATGCTAACACCCTTAGCCCAGTTCCAGGCATCACTGATTAGGCGCACTTACAGGAAGCTGCATTCTGTGCATACTCAGCTTGCTTGGTCAATCACACACACACACACACGTGATTGTGTAACTTTTCTCTAAATGAAATGCTTGTCTACCGCTCTGTGTGTGTTCCCGTCTTTTTCTGCACTTTTTGTTCAATGGGCTTTTAAACAATAAAAATGATCATTTTAAAAGCCGGTTTATAAGAGCAATATGATAAAGTAGCACTTAATCGTGTGCCGTCTATGTCTGTCAGGTCACTGCTGGCAGCTACTCCCTCTCCAGTTGTGTTCTGCCATAATGACGTACAGGAAGGTAAGAGATATCACATTCACATTCGTACACGCATACCAGAGTCCTGCCAGCTGCCTAATCTGGTGAGCTGATACGGGTCTGTCAGTCACTGTTGTGTTGTACCATTATGAAACATATCTGCCCTTTCATCTATAAAATCATACTTTGTTCTTCAGGCAATATCCTCATGTTAGATGGCCGAGAGAATTCATCTGACAAACTAATGCTTATTGATTTTGAATACAGCAGCTATAACTACAGGTAAAACTACCCTATATAACATACTGCATGTGCTTGTCATTGTATAGTTTATAATAAATGCAGCTCTGAAGAACTATTCTTTTGGTCTGCTCTGAGTGCAGAGGCTTTGATTTTGGGAATCATTTCTGTGAATGGATGTATGACTACACATATGATCAGTGGCCCTTCTACAAGGCAAAGGTGGAGAATTACCCCAACAGACAACAGCAGGTGAGTCACAACCTGCTCTCCCACACACTACAGCCTATCATTAATATTACACAAGATGAGACAAGATAAAAATTAAAAAAACTTTTTATAAAAGAACAATTTATAAATGGAAAATAAACTGAAAAATAACATTTCAGTTTATTTGGATATTGTGTTGTACAAATTCAAATAACTTTACAAATAAAACATCACAGGACAGAAAGTAAAATTGAGGACATTATAAAATGATTATGAATTAAAGCAGTATTCTCAAGAAAACCCTATTCAAACAAAATCTTTCACATTGAAGTGAAATTATTTAAAATTCACTACTATGTTCACTAAATCCATCTTTAAAATTTGAGTTTAATGTTATCCAATATATTAAGGAATAAACGATGGTGATACAAAAATGTAAATAAAAACCTGAAACCTTAGAATCATTATAATATGCCAGATTAATAGTATTATTATTATTTTTCGAATGCAATTTTTGTTCTCATGTAGATGTAATACAGCATCATAAATTATATTTGACATTAATTTGTGCTTGGTATTTCTCTTACAAATTGATGACAAGTGATTTGTCATAGTTGAAAGATCATTTGTGTTGGACATAATGTACGTGTAGTTTGGTGAGGCTATCATCTAGTGGAAAGTTTTGGAACTGACGTGACATAAAAAGTGTGTCAAAGGTTGACACTATAACTTATAGAGGTCAGCACAGCAGCATACAATGTTAATATTTAACAGCATTCGAAATTGTGTCATTGGGCAGGGGATAATATCAGTCCCTTTTAAATATCAAAACAAAATGGATATTCTTATAGCTATTATTTTGAACCTGTTTGCGGTTTGTTTTTCAGTTACGTTTTATCAGACACTATCTGTCAGAAAAGGGGGGCATTGCACCTGCTGACCAAGCCAGGATAGAAGAGGACATGATCATTGAGGCAAACCGGTATGAATCGTATTTACTATCAGACTTTTATTGACATAACATGGGAAAAGCGTCACTGTGTACCATTTGATGTATTTTCACCTTTACCTAGTAACCTTGTTATCTGTTTGTCTCAAAAATCACATGCACACAAACAGGTTTGCCCTTGCGTCTCATTTCCTCTGGGGTTTGTGGTCTATTATTCAAGCCAAGATCTCTAAAATCGAGTTTGGATATATGGTAAACTAAAAAAAAAAAAAACACACAACACACACAAATTAATTATAACCCTTACAAACATTTTTTCTAATCATTCCATGATGATTTTTAGGATTGTCATTGTATTAAAATTGTTACTTATTAATTACTTTATAATTAACTGTTGAGTAACTGCATGTCAGTTGTGGCCAATACAGCACCTAAAATCTAAATATTCATTTATACATTCATATAAAGTTTGTAGTACATGTCCACGTTATTTGTGAATTATCCATAAACGAATGAGCAATACTCAATTCTGAGAGCTCAAACAGCATCATAGTCATGTGTACAGTAAACAGATGTATA